GTTTGACTTGCTTCGGATTAGAAAAGGCCTGTGAACTTGAAGCCAAATTTAAACTGTAAAGGACTATCGGGGAGCCAGGAATTGAGGCGAAGGAGAAGAGGAAGAGTGGAAGTTCCTGGGAGGGAGCAGCAGAGCCCTCCCTGGCCACTCAGGGGCATAGCCAGCTCCCTGGCAGTTCTTAAGCTTTAGCCCAGGCTGGAGTGGGAGGTGGGGGTGGGGTTTTAAGCACTGATTCCCAGTCACACACCGCCTTTGACACAGCCTTGCATCGTATTCCTATCTTCTGGGTATTTCACTTCAGTTGGATTCTCAGTCTTGGGCCTGTCTCCTCACTGAATGGAAGCTATCAGGCAGGGACTAAGCAGGCAGCTCCTTGCATGCCCACATTGATGAGCAAGACTTAATAAGTACTGTTAGATGAGTGAAGTAGGATTTCTGCCCATCTCTGGGAGCAGTCAATGGTCCAAGCTTCATATCTTACTAAGACTTTATTCCAGCTCCAGCCTGACTATAGCTAGAGAGCTAGGAGAATGCTGTTCAGCTTTTCCAGGAGGTAAACCCTTTGCCCAACTTAAAAGGGGCAGGTGCAGGTGCAGGTAAGGATTTGCTTTCTCCCTAAAAATCTGTGGTTAACCTCTCACTGGTCTCCTTGTGCTTCCAAAACATGTCTCTGTCTATTTGGGCCAGGACGCTGCATGTGGATTTTCAGATTCTTAGGGAATGATGTGGCCAGTCCTGCTGACAGAGGCTGAGAAAATTCAGACAAGCGTCATCATCACTCCCCTGGGGAATCAGAGAGCTGAGTTGGGAAAGGGAGGGTCTGCCTAACAGCCCCGGCCGGAGGCAGCTCTGCCTTCACAATGTCTGGGTAATTCGAAGCCAGCCAAGTTGCTTCTGGACCTTGGAGGCACTTGTTTGGCATTGTGGGGTGTTGGCATGGCAACCGTATGGCCCAGATTTCTCAGGGAGGTCCTGATTTTTAATATTCTGTCCTGCTGTCAGCCCATGTGTCATAAATTTTGAGGTAAAAAATTGGTAATGGAATCTGTAAAACTAAAGAGAAATGCTGACTTCATCCCTAAATGGTTGCTTCTGATGTGGCAGGAGCACCAATTTTTTACAGTACTTCCACGCTGTACTTTATGGGCAAGTCAGTGGACTGGGGACTATCCACTTGAATCTACATCGATGCACGATGCACGCTAGCTCTGGACAGCTGCCAAAGCAGGAGGCAGAGCAGACACAGCGGGCCTTCAGTCTTCAGACCTCACAGTTGGGAAGAGCATTTGTGATTGGTTTGGGTTTCCATATGCTAATTCTCTAATAGGCATGGATGGGATGCTAAGGTGTTACATGGAGTTTCACTTTACAGACAGATTTTAAAAAGACTATCCATTATGGATATTTTTGAGATAGGTGTACTCTTTTGCAGCGTCTCCTATTTGAAACTATGAAAGTTTTAGGCAAGAGTTTCCCTAAAATGGGGTTTTTTTTTATCGTACTGTTGGGATACTGCTCTGTGACTATGGACAAAAACTTAGATCTCTGGACCTTCGTTATTTTATGTGTTAAATTTGGGTGAAATGATTTGTAAAGTTTGTTGATCCTTAGATAAGCTGATAATAGTTTCATTTCTAGAAGCAAATAAATGACTGTAAGGGAGTTCTTTTGAAGGGTGTCGTGAGGTTTATTTCTGGTGGAGGGACATGCCTGTCCGGAGTAGATCCCCTAGTGATCCCTGATGCTGTGCAGGGATCCCAGCTTACCTAGTAGCAGAAGGGAACACAAATGATGGCTTTTCCAGCACTGTTCTCTGAGAGCAGAGGCTTCAATCCCATCTGGGTGAGTTTATATTTTATTTATAATGTATGTATTTCTTATGCATATGCGTAAGAATATGATTTGCCTAAGTGACCGAAAATGATTTTGTATTTAATTTGTCTGGGTGCCCTACACAAGAAAGAGGGTGGGGAGGAAGAAGCATAAGCACCCCCAATTCCTTTTGTCAAAATGTTCAGATTGAAGGGGACTGATTTCCCATTGCTGGGGTCCCAGCCTGGGTCATGTTGAGACCTGCCCATAGGACTTGGGGACAGCACAGTGGCAGCAAGACTGGTAAGGGCCCTGACAGCCCAAGAGTCCCCTCCTTGGGAGATCTGAGGGCCAATGCACAGATCACTTTTAAGGCTCTGCTCATTCTCCTGCTGGGCCCTTTACTTCTGGTCAGAACAGCAGTTCCCCCACTGGCTGCTCCGAGGGCATGGGGCCTGGCTTTCTTCTCTGGTGGCCTTGCCTATCAGCTCTGTGGGCAGAGGAAGCCCTGGGGTCTGGAAGTACCATTTAAATAGATGTGGAGGGGCTCTGACAGGCGAGGCTGGGCCCTGACGTCTGTCTTACTGTGATGGAAGAAACAGGCCTGGAGTCAGAGGTAAGCCCGTGGTCAGGCAGTTCATTCCAGTTAGAAGATTGCAGATTTATCCCCATCTGCTTCTTGAGGAGACCTGAAAATCCTTCCCTATGAATAAGGGGGTCAAAGACACAAGGAGGCTAAACAGACAAGAGACCCAGGGCTTTTGGAAAGGAGCAGGGAGCACAGTGCTGAGACTCAGGTCAATGATGATTACACTTAGGGAGTCATTCGGTTCACTAAATCAGACAGCGTGCATGGTACAGTCACAGTCAGTGTACAGCCCACTTTGGAAATGGTTTCAGGGAGCCAAGTCTCTCTCCCCTGAATGCTGTGGTCTTTGACCTGAACCTGTGTAGCCTCTGTAATCACTGTTACATCTGTATTATATTTCTGGTGGCTCCATACACTGGACCCAACAATGCTATGTTAGGTGTTTTGCAAGCTTT